CAACCGAGGGCTCCGGGCACCGCGCAGGGCCTAGACCCCCGACGTCATGATTTTTTCATGACGTTGACCCCCCGAGGTCTCGACCCATTCCCCGGGGCCCGTTTTTCGTCCGGAGTCGTTTTTGACGGTCCCGAGGGCCGGTAAGGGCCCCCAAAGGCAAAAAATAAGGAAAAACCTTCCGTCGTGATTTTTTCACGACGCGAGGGGGTCTGGGTGGAACGAACGATCGAGGCTTGGGAGGTCTGGGGGGCCCCCGCCCTGCCGCGTCGATTCGCGGACTGCCCCTGCTCGGTCCTCGGGAGGGCGCCGCGGCCGCTTGGCGGGCCTGCGCCCAGGAGGGCCCGGCACCGGGCCGTCTTCCCTAACCCAGAGCCCTGACTCCGGATCCGCCCTACTTTGGCTTTTTTTCTAACTTAAAATTGCGTCGGAAATCCACCTAGAAGAGGCCGAAAAAGTAGGGCGGAAATTGCTGCACCCAACATAAAATAGGGCGGAAATCCACAGAAACAGCAACAGAAAAGTAGGGCGGAAATTGGCATCAGCGGGGCTTGAAAAGTAAGGCGGAAATTCCAAGCCCTACTTACGAATTTCCCCAAAGTAGGGCGGATCCGGAGTCAGGGAGATCCAACGTGCTGAACAAAAGCGCGACGGAAGTTTTTCGCAGATTTCGGCCTCGAGGGGCCCTCGCCGGGCCCCGGGACCGTCAGGAAACGACTCAGGATGAGAAACCGGTCCCGGGGAATGGGTCGAGACTTCTGGGGACCCCGTATTGAAAAAATCACGGCGTCGGATCTCTGGGAGGGTGTGTTTTGCCGAGCGGCTCTCCGCGGCCGCCCTCCCTGATTCGCCCCGCTGTCCCGGTGCTGCTCTCTGCTGGCTCGCAGCCCGCAGCCAGGCCTGCCGACCTGTGGATTGCAAAACGAAGGATTGCAAAAAACCCTCCGGTTTTTTGCAATCCTTCGGTTTTTTGCAATCCTTCGGTTTTTTGCAATCCTTCGTTCCGCGACGGATTGAAAGTGGACCAGCAAAGCGCCCTGATGGACGCGACAGTGGGGAAAGGCGGGTCGAGGAGTGGGAGGTCGGCTCTCGGGAGCAGGGGTGAGAGCTCGGCCACGTGCACCTCGGTGCAGTTCTGTCCAGGGATCGCGGCCGTGCGGACCAAGAATGACGGGCCTCGAAGGTCCCCAAACCGTGCGGTGACGGGCCGCGCGGTGAGGTCTCTTGCGATTTCGAGGTCGCCGCACGGTCCGTCATTGGCGCGCATTTGGCGCGTATTTGGCGCGTCGGCGCTGTCCTGTCGCGCGTTTGGCGCGTCTCCTGTCTGTCTACGCGTTTGGCGTTGCCCGCTCGCTCGCAGAGTTGTCCTGCCCACGCGCGTTTGGCGTATGGCTGCTTCGTTCGTTCGTTCGCACGGTCCGTCATCGCACCGTTGGGGCCCCCCAAGCCATCACAGACTGCTCTGGATGACGAGCTGGCCCCGGAGCAGGGATCGAGGTCCCCCGGGGCCCACGTCGCGAAAACACACCGACGACGACCCAGGCTTCGAGGGGTAGGAGGAGGAGGGAGGAGGAGGAGGAGGAGGAGGAGGAGGAGGAGGAGGACGAGGAGGAGGACGAGGAGAAGGACAGAGGAGGAAAAGGAGGAGGAGGAGGAGGAGGAGGAGGAGGAGGAGGAGGGAGGAGGAGGAGGAGGAGGAGGAGGAGGAGGAGGAGGGGGAGGAGGAGGAGGAGGAGGACAGAGAGGTTCGCCATCGTTTTTTGACGACCGCGCCTCGGAGTTTGACGAGGAGGAGCTTCGTGGGACGTCTGCGGCGGGAGGCCTCGTCAAAATGCAGGCTCGGCCTCGTCATTTTTGTTGACGACCTCGTCGGGGATTTCCGAGGCCCCTGTACCCAGGTCTTACGTCCCCCTGACAGGCCTCGAGCGCGCTGATCTCTTCAGTCTCGGCCTCTCTTGCCTAGACGTCCGCCACGGGGGGCCGTCCGCATGGCAGGGCGAGTCCTCCGGGGACGGGGCCCGCAGTCGCTGGAAACAAAGCACGCCAGAGGTCTGGGCACTGAACGACGATGGCGGCGTCTTCGTTCCGGAAGGCTTCTGGGGCGCATCTGGGGCTTCTCGTCGCCACGGCTCGCGGGGGCACAGGGCCACCGATGCACATGGAGCATGGGGGCATAGGGGGCATATGGAGCATGTGGACACAGGGTCAGCTGGAGCATATGGGCGCGAGCCGACATGTCTCTCGATGTGAACCAGATTCGAGTTGCCGCGGTTGGCGTTTTGGGGGAGCGCGGCGGCGTCGGCCAGGTCCCCGGCCCCGCGTGGGATTGAAGCCCTCGTGCTCTTTTTGCCCCCGCCCCCACGTGAGCCACGCCGACGTCGATAGTTTGTGCCCGCGCGCAGCTGCGCGCGGGCATCCTCTCTCGACGTCGGCGCTGTTCGCAGGCGCGAGTGCGGAGAAACACCTGGGTCTGGGGCCCCCTCAGGGCCCCGGGTCTGGCCGAAGTCGGCGCGGTCACCCGAGACGCGCACCGCAGCATGTCCAGTGTGATTTTGTTCGACCGGCGTGGCGGGCAGTGCCCAGATGTCTAGGGAGGAACGCCCACCCCGGCACCAATAGTTGGCGTGATTTTGTTCGACCGGCGTGACGGGCAGTGCCCAGATGTCAAGGGAGGAACGCCGACCCCGGCACCAATAGCTGGCGTGTATGAAAACGGCCCTGGGCGTTTACTAACCAGTCCTATCCTGTTCGATTCCGTCCTTGGTGCGTTTACTGAACGGCTTCATTTGCCAGGGTGCTTGTTATCAGGTTGACTTTTCTCTCCCCTATGAGCGACAGAAGAAAAGGGGGTTGCCTGCGCCGACATTCACGCGTGAGGCGTGAGCGTTCCGCGTCATGTCGCGCGCAAGCGTTCTGTCTTCCACGTGGCGTTTAGCGCTGGCGGTCCGCGTAAGCCGCGGTGCCAGGTGTCAATCTCATGATGCGTAAGATCGCAGGCCCAGAGATTGGCACCAACACCAATATCGGCGGTGTGTCATCTACCGAGGGAAGAAGATCCCGATCTCGGTGATGGTGGTAATATTCTGGCTTCCAAGGTGGCCGAAAAGATTGCCACCAACACCGAGATCTAGGATTGTCTTCCCCCTATGGAGGCAACCCCCTGTGTTGGTGTTGGTGCCCATTTCTAGGCCTCCAATAAGACCCGCTTCTTCCTTTTCGTCGCCCACGTGAGGCGATCCAGAGAGGGCCTCGCCTGCGAGGATCGGAGGAGTTGCCATCTCCTCCTGGGCGGAAGGCGGCGGAAGTAAGGCGGGGGCGGCTCGGCTGAAGCTGGCCGAAGAAGGCCGGCGGAAGCAGGCGGAGGTAAAAAAAAACCCTCCAAGAGATGGCCAGGTCTTTTGGCGCGGAGCTTCTGGAACCCGCCTTGTGTCGCCGCGCCGTGTGCTCCGACGCGCGGCTTCACGCCTTGTGGAGGGTGCCTCGGCCACCAGGGCAGCGTGTCGCCGCGCCGTTTGCTCCGACGCGCGGCTCCACGCCACGGGGGGGGGCGCCTCGGCCGCCTCCGATGCAGAGCTGCCCGTGGGTCTGCCGCGGTGCCGGCTTCGTCCGCCTGGGGCGCGGACGCAGGGTTTGCCGTGGCTTTGCCGCGGTGTCGGCGTCGTCACCAGTTTGTTAGGTGTTCGATCGGGGACCCTTGTTGTTGAGCGCAGCCATCCAGCTTTCGGGCCGACGACGGCTGGAGGCCGCCGAAGACCGTCCAGATCGTCCGAAGACCCCCCGAAGACCGCCGAAGGCCGTCCGACGACCGCCGAAGACGGCCCAGGAGCGATTGGGGCAGCGAGGGGCCCATGGCCGTACACGTGACCCTCGGGCGCGTCGAGGGCGAGCGGCGCGGCGGCGCGGCGGCACGGAGGAGGAGGAGGAGGAGGAGGAGGAGGAGGAGGAGGAGGAGGAGAGGAGGAGGAGGGAGGAGGAGCGTAAAGCAGGAGGAGGCGGAGGAGGAGGAGGAGGAGGCGGAGGAGGAGGAGCAGGAGGAGCAGGAGGAGGAGGAGGAGGAGGAGGAGGAGGAGGAGGAGGGAGGAGGGAGGGGGGAGAGGTAGGAGGAGCAGGAGGAAGGAGGCAGGAGGAGGAGGAGGAGAGGAGGAGGAGGAGGAGGAGGAGGAATTGTAGTCGGGGCCGGAAGGTCCTTTTCGGTGCGAGCGCAGCGCGCAGGCAGGAGGAGGAGGAGGATGAGAAGGAGGAGGGGAGCAGGAGGAGGAGGAGGAGGAGGAGGGAGGAGGAGCAGGAGAGGAGGAGCAGGAGGAGGAGGAGCAGGAGGAGGAGGGAGCGGAGGAAAGCAGGAGGAGGAGGAGCATATGAGGAGGAGGAGGAGGAGCAGGAGGAGGTCGGAGGAAGGAGGAGAGGAGGAGGAGAAGGAGGAGGAAGGAGGAGAGGAGGAGCAGGATGGAGCGGAGCAGGAGGGAGCGGAGGAGGAGGAGGGAGGAAGGAGAAGGAGGAGGAGGAGCAGGGAGGAGGAGGAGGAGGAAGCAGGAGGAGGAAGGAGGAGGAGCAGGAGGAGGAGGAGCAGAAGAGGCGGAGGAGGAGGGGGAGGAGCAGGCGGAGGTAGGAGCAGGAGGAGGAGAGGAGGAGGAGGAGCCGGGAGGAGCAGTGAGGAGGAGGAGGAGGAGGAGGAGGAGCAGGAGTAGGAGAGGATGGAGGAGCAGTGACCGGAGGTGATGGAGCAGGAGGCATGAATGGCAGGAGGAGGAGGGAGCAGGCAGGAGGCGGAGCGAGGAGGATGGAGCAGGAGGAGGAGGAGCAGGAGGAAGGCGTGAGGAGGAGGAGGAGGCTGGAGGAGAAGGAATCTCGCTTAGTGCCCCCCATAGCAGGCAGCCTCTGTACACACGCCGCCGTGTGCAGGCTAGCTGGGGAGGAGGAGGAGGAGGAGGAGGAGGAGCAGGAGGAGGAGGAGCAGGAGCAGGAGGAGGCGGAGCAGGAGGAGCGAGGGGGGCGCCTCCCGAGAGGCGGCGCGCGCGGGCGCGGCGGTCGCGCTGGCGGAGGTGGCGCGGCTGCAGGCGGCCAGCGGGGGGGGCCCAACGGGCGCTCCCGGGGAGGGCCGGCGCCCTCTGTCGACGCGGCGAGGCGCCCCTCGGCGGCAGGCCGCCGGAGGGGCAGCTCGAGGCTCCCAGAGTCTGCTCCTCCTCCTCCTCCTCCTCTTCCTCTCCTCCTCC